AGATGGTCATAGAATTAAGATATGGTTCATTACATCCAGGTTTGTAATGTAGCAATCTCTTCCAATGATACAGTCTTAAAGCTTCGCTGCATTACTGCTCCTTTATCTGGGTGTACTTACTGTGGAACCAATTAAGAATTTTGGAAGAAGCGTTGATGAATTACATCAGTGATTGAGTCTCTTCTCCTCCTCCCTCCCCACATACACATTTTGAAACGAATTCTGTGCCGGGTTGTAATTCCACACCCAATGGCTTCTTTGTTTCCTGCCATAGTAGGGTACTAACTAATTTGTGCTGCTCAGTTGAGAATGTTAAACAATCTCTCGTAAACAATTTTGTGCATCAGGGAATCTTGGAACACAATGCCTTGGGACCAAACTACTGTTGGTCCCCAAATAAACAAGTTCAGACAGATTCACTTAGAACAAGAGGGATAATATTCCAAAATTATTAATTTCACTGATACAATAATTCTTGCATTTGATATCGTCAAAACAACAAAACGCTGAAAAGGTAATTTGAAGTGTAATGACCATTTGTAGGCAAGTCATTTTTAGTGATCTTAAGTATAATATAAATTGACGATTAACATTGGGAGTTAGCTTTCAAACATCTGCTGTTACTTCTGCTGTTCCATATCTTATAAAATCCCTATTCATTTTGTTTAAAACCTGCATGGTGGACTGCTATTGTTGATTAATGCTGACCAAAAAGCAGTAGAGTGAGTAACAACAACCATGAGAACACCTCATCAATTTCAGAGTATGCATTAATAATAATAATAATAATCCTTGCATTTGATATAGCGCTTTTCACGTCGGGAGGACGTCCCAAAGCGCTTCACAGAATATACTGTAAAGTGAATTGACTGTATATTTGTGGGCGAACGCGGCAGCCAATTGCGCACAACAATGTCCCACAAACAGTCGTAGATTGATAATGACCAATTTATTATTGTTTTGTTTTGGAGGGATTATTATTAGGCTCTGTGTGGAGTAAGGAAACTTGCCCAAGGTTTCGCCCTCTGCCTGGAGGGCGCCATTAGTCCGCCATTAGTCCCCCATTGGGATAGATTATCTGCTAGATACCATTATCCACCTGTAATAAAGGCTCAGCTTACTCAGGAAGCTCTAAGAAGTTGACGTACACGCCACAAGCAGACGTGAAAGGTTTGTATGGGACTTTCAGGGGCACCTCCAAAGTCCTCCATTTCTATGCAAATTGCTCATTCCAGGCAGAGAACATAACTGCTGCAAGCCATGTCACCTGCTTTTAATATTCTTTGCATTTGATGTAGCCTCTGATTGCATCAATAAAGTTTCAATGCAGTTCACAACAGTTACTGAAGTGTAGTGCTGTATAAGCAAATCCAGCATACAATTTGCACAAGGTAATGTCCTACAAACAGCCATGAAATAAATGATTCATTTTACCTGGGGAATTGTTGGCTAAGATATTAGAAATATTCCACTTAAACCTATAGCTGATGATTAGAAAGACTATAATAACCAAGGTGGAAAGTATATGTCTTGAATAATAAAATGACGTTTTGAAAGGGAAGGATGGGTATGAGGGTTTGCAGTGTTATCCTAGCTTAATATCCTCACACCTTAACAGAAACAAGACACACAAGGTGATATGAGGATCAGTTTGCAATGAGAATTGAAACTGGAAACCATAATTTCCCACTCAAATTGATTTTGCATTGAGAAGTGTTGGAATACGAGCAATAGAAAAATGAAAATCAGATGGATTACTCCCTCTAAGCACTGCATCTAAAGGATATTGATCAATGAATTTAAGGCTGTAGTAATAAACTTAATTTCAGTGCAAGTAACAATACAAGATTACAATATTTTCTTTAATTCTCAGCATCCTACTAAATGAGTGATATTTATGTATTTTTAAGATTATAGATTGACATTCATCACTTGAGTTAGAGAAAAACATTTTAACAGTCATCGAGTGCAACCTATTTGAAGTTTAAAAGGCCAGGGATATTTTGTTCATCACTGTATCAAGACCCTTAATACAATAAACTTTCTAAGTTATTTGCTCATACATTCTAATATTTAGTATTAAAGATCCTTATGGGTTTCCCATACAGGCAAACTGACCAAAGAATACCCAATATATAAATTCAAACTGGTGTAACAGGCAATTCGAAGACTCAAACAGTCTTAAGTTGGCAGATCTTGGAACAGTATACAACATTTAGCTTTTATAGAAAAAATGCATTTTAAAAACATTGATGAGCTATGGGCTCTTTCATAGCTCTGAGGATTAACCAAATATTTATCTACAGTGGGTAAAATTGAGTAAAACAGTTATTTCCCCCTCCATGTGAAACCCCAAATGTTTGGCTATAAAAGACAAAGGGGAGAAAAGTAGTAGCATTTCTACATTTTTATTGCTTTTTTGTTCTGACATTTACAATTCGGCTCCAAAGATAAAAATGTATTTTCATTCTACAAATGTACATTTTTGCATCAGTCATAAAATATAAAAAATTCAAAATAACATATGAAACAGCCACAATTTTTTTTTTACAGGTTCAATTAAAATCAGTTGCATAATAGCTTCTAATATTTACAAAATTGCAAGTTTCCAAAACATTAATGATGTCACATGCACAATGGTTAAAAAAAGTCAACAGCTTGAAGACACGCAATGACTTAAAGAACATGTTTCACTTCATTTCCAGCCTCAAATATTTTCAAATTGGATGCTGCTGCAAGGGGGAGGGGGTGGGGAGGAATTCTTAGATCAGCATGAACTACAGGGATTGCAAAATTAATCTTACCTAGCTAGCTTTGGTAGAATCATCAGTCTGTCATCTAGAAACACAGCATCATGCATTCCCTAGGTGGGAGAAAACAATTCAGTGGTATTTGCAGATACGGCAGCTAAAACTACACATGACCAACCAACCGTAACCTTATATGCAAAGAATAATTGATGGTATTACTATCAATGACCTAATAGTTTCAGAGGTGACTGCTAGCAGGCTGTTTTGCATGAAAGGAATTGTTGTACACTCAAATAATGTAACTAGACAGGAAATATTAAGACTCAGTAAAATTAGTTTGGAAATTCCTTTCAGTCACTGTAATTTCTTATGTTTCCTTCAAAATTGAAGAATCACGTTTGCTAGAGAGTTTACTGGGCAATTATTACTTGCACTTGATTAGACATCATCTTGAGCTCTATGTGTTGCAATTGTATTTTAGCTCAATATTTGAACCACTTGCACATGCTGAAGATTTAGAAAGAAAAATTTCTCATTTAATAGCCCTAGGAATGCAATACACATTGTAACTGCATTTTTGCATAGGTGGGATGGTGGTGGTGGGGTGGGGGGAAACCACACCATTTCCAGAATATACAACAAGCTAAATATCTCAACTTTTAATGCAACTAATAAATGGCAGTACTGCCATCAGGAGTAACTGGCCATGTTACATACTTAGGTGTCATACATTTTGACGACAAGGCCCTGCACGAACCCCCGATAAAAGAATTGGAAGAATTACTATCAATTCAGCGTGTTGATATATCAACTATCACGCTACAATAATATCAGGAAAGCAAGTTTGATCCACAACATTGCTATGTGCAGATGCTGCATGAAGTGCAATAACATACAATCTATACAGGTCCTGAAAATATATATTTAAAGCCAACTGCAACATTTTGAACAGATAAAGTAAATAAGTGGAATGTTAAAATATCCCATTATTTTCATGTAATGGACTTGTGTCAAGTCATTAATTGAGAAATTCTTGAGGGAATGACATTTTAAAATCACAACATGGCCAAGTCGATCAATTCAGGAAGACGTAATCTGATATTAAAAAAAGTAAGGCCATGCTCAGGGTATAAAATGTATGTAGTCTTCTACCTCAACACTTTAGTATTCTTTGCATACTTGATTACGCTTCTGTCCTTCCAATACATACTTTAGCTACAGTGGAATGCAATCACATTGGAGCAGAATACAAAAAGTGCTTCAGACTGAAATTACTGACAGCACTAATGGCTTAACCAATACTGACTAATTCAAAAATAAAGTTTGAAGTTTGATTAAAAATCACTGATGCATGACAAGATCATTTCTGCCAATTAAGGCTACAAGTGTGTAGTGTAATACAAAACTTAAATAGATTCCAGAAGGTCTCAATACAAGAGTAGTACAAAATCAAATCCTCTATATATTCATTCAAAATTTAGTCCCTTAGTTTTGAAATCCTTTAGTTGTTGAAATAACAGAAAACATCTAACAAAATAATTTGATAGTCAGTGGGCATGGTTTGAAGTAATTATTGAAGTTCTTTGAATAATTATTTTATACGAGGCGGAGTAACCATGCCATTGGCATGTACTACATGTACAGTTTGATGCTAACTGCTTTTATGTCACTGAGAAGCACTAACTGCATAAATTATGGCAAGTCATGTGAGGATACTTGTACTTTGAGGCCATTAGATCAAAATTAATGAAAAGAGGGGGGGGGGGGGGGGAGAAGAGAAAAAAAAGTGTCTCATGACATCTAACTGTCACATGTTTTCAGGAAAATGTTCACAGCAAACACTGCCATGCAGGCAGAATTATCTGTGAAATAAGAGGGCTGAATTTCCACAAACATTTAGAACTGAAAAAGCTAGATGCCAGAAAGTATAAAAACTATTTTAAATATTGATACAATTTTAATTGCTCGACACCTTTATTGAGCTATGCAATAAAAAAAACTAAAATTGGAAACTGCATTTCCTTTGCAACTGAAAATCATGTGAGCAAAGTTGGACTACGCAAAAAAAAGTTCAGAAAACTCAATAAGTATGATAATCTGATATAAGATGAAGTTAAACAATACATGTCTGATCAGACACAAGGGTTGGATATCCTTTGAAACGTTGAGGAAAAATGTTATCCATCTGAAAAGATTTTAATTAAATGGTTTCCATTCAACTTAGCAATGGAGCAATTTATTTTCCTCAAACGTTAGCATGAATAAACAGATAATTCAATAAACAAATCTGTGTTTTGTTCCCAACTTGGGAATTTTCGGTCCTATTTTATACTTAGTAAATCGTCGTTTGTAAATGCCCCATGAAAAGCTTCTCAAATTCACAAACTCAATTCCAACAGTTTGTAATGGAGCAGTCTAAAATGATTTACTAACATTAAATTGAGATTAATTTTGTTGAGATTCAATTTCCAAGAAGTCCCAGAGTTTGTCAGTCTTGTCTCTGTTGTCCCCCATTGTCCCCCATTAGGTTTTCAAACTTGTTATTAAGCACAGCTCTGGATAAGACATTTCTTACAGAGCTATCTCAGCTATATGCTCGTGCTAACCTGCAAGCAGTTTATCAGTACATTATTTGGAGATGGTGTTTTGAAGTTTTAATTCTAAAGTTATGTATCATATGAATAGTATTTAAGTTTGTTTTCATTGTAAGCACAGTTCTCGAAAGCAAAAATTTAAATACCTGATGATCCACAATTAATGCAAATGTTTTGAAGTGGAAAACACTCCCTTGAAAGATGAATATATATATATATTGTTCTTTCCCTCCCCCTACACCTCCTACCCATAATCTTAAAACCTGGGTTTTAATATATGAAATTGTCACTAAGAAAGAACGAAAACCCAGGAAGACAATCTTCAGTTTTCTTTAAAGTACTAGGGATTGTTACATATTCTCTGTACACAATCCACAAGAGTAGTCATTGACTCTCTATAGCTCTCACACCAAGTTTCATGCTGTAGAAGTTAATAAACGTTATAGATTAAACAGAAGGAATCACCAAAATAAATACAACAGCTTTTTTATTTACCCAACACTTGCATTGCTGTGGATGTGAACATCATCCTTTAAGTAAATTCCTCTTTATTGAGCTTCAAAATTCGTTCTCTTCACTTGCACGAGAGGTGTGGGCCGCTAAAAAAAAATTGTCTAATCAGAAGCCTTCCATCGAAAACTATATACTCAAAAGGAGCAAATCGCAATTCTATAATATGACATATATTTGTAAAATTGGCTCCGATTTCAAGTTCATTAAGGCAGGTAGAAATGATGCATTGGCCACTTTCTTCCCATTTCACTCTAAAATGACATGTGGTAATCCCAGTCAATAAAATTGCAAGCAACAAAGCCAACTTCAAATGGCAATTCTATAATATCCTCAGTGAAGTAAAAATATTGTTACAGCAAACATTTCAACAAACTGCATATTCAAAATACAATACATAACAAAAGGAATAATACTGCATTGCATGTTCAGTTCTGTGGAACACTTCCAGCTTCCACCTTGCATAGAAATAAGATGAATCACTGTAAACAGCTTCCACATCCAACTCCAGATTCTGCAAATCTGAGGCTGAAAAGCATAAAGCGATGGATTCTTCATGACTAAAGCAAAACGGTTCTCAACTGCCACTTTAGTGAATCAAGGCATCCTTCATCTGGATGAAGAGCTAAACCATCAACTAAAGAAAAAAATGGTTTACTTTTCCAAACTGAAGATGGTCTTCTACAATATTACCAATGTTGCAGGTTGAAAGATCCAATTCAATATTCTCTTTAAGTAGAGATCGGTGTGAATATTTTCCAATGGCAGCTTTTGTCATAACTGTGCATCAAATTCTTTTAACTGTGGTCTGATCTAATTTCAGCTCCAACATATAATAGGCTTGTAAATGACACAGATTCTATCAGGTTCGCTTTCAGAGAACTTGATAGCATCTTTCTACAGACAATAGCCCACACTAACTTTACAAAAATACTGGTTGACAACTTAACATACAAGGGCTCTCTCATATAACATGTACAACTTGGAACCTTACAAGAACAGATAGGTTTTCCCCCCCCAAGTCAGTACTTTCTCCATTCTGGTGGTCAGAATTAGCACCTTGGTCACCCATTGAGCTCCACCAAAGTCGCATAAACGTACCAGCTCTTTCTTCAACTCTGGCTTTGCCCGATTTCCTCAACTGTTGTAAAAGCTGTACAGTACAGACTATCCAAATATGAACACTTTGTTTGGAAGCTTTCTGCTGCAGCACGAGTGCTCAGAACATCAATAGTACAGTTATAGTATGGATAAATTCCTCTTTCCTTGTGCAAAATCAATGCACAATTTAACAAACAATGATTCTGTTTTAACCATTACTTTTTAAAACTGTCTGTGTAAACTCACATCCAGTGCGTGCGTAATCACTTTATCTCCCCGTATAAGATTGTCTTTTTAAAAAAAAAAAGCACCTTTGGATAAAAACAGCAGAAAATTAATCTAGCAGCAGTGGACATCCATTGGACATCTTTCTTTGTACCTGCCATTGGGTTACTCAGTGGCACGTAGTGATTCATACTAAGCCCAAATATTAGTCTGCCGAGTCCATGCTTTCAGACGGAGGTGCATACTTCAACCTAAAAGTACCTGAAAGGCAAAGTTTAAAAAAAGTTATTTTCTTCTTATATTTATAAATATTTTAATAATATAATATTCTGCATACCCTGCTGAAAAAAAATTGAAACTTAGTTTGCGGAAAATACTAATAGCTTCTTCAACCAAGAAGTATGATGGATTGTCCTATGCTATGTGTTCTTTTCTTCTGATAATATTATTACAAGAGTAAAAAAGAAACATTAATTTGAAAGATACATCTGTAACCTTCCATAAACATCAAAGGGGTAACCAGATATTATGCAGCATTGGTAAATATAGAATAGTTTGTAAAGCAAGAGCTTCAAGTCTTAGCAACATAGAATAAAAGCAGGCTATTTGTTACACAGCGTATTGTTGATCAGGTATTCACCTAAAGCACAAGTTGCTCACCTTGCTGATTGGAGTCCATGGCTGGCTGCTTGCAATCCTGGGCTCGGTGTCCATTTGCTCCACAATTGTAACATGATATATTCCCATTCTTTTTATGTCCTGATCCATTTGTGCTTCCTACCACGCTCTGTGTTTGATATAACGTAGTTGTGCCTCCCAGGAAATTTTGCATGGGGGGCAGGACAAAACCTGATTGCCCACTTATAAGAGTGTCTGGAGACAATCCATTGTTGTGAACAGGAGGTGGTACTACTGGATAGGGAAAGGCAGTACTATTATTGTATTGTTGGGTGCTAATGTAACCATTGTTACATAACGGACTAATTGGAAAGAGAGGAAAAGTCAACACTGAAGGGCCTGAAAATGGGTTTTGGAAATAGCTGGCGTAATTAATAGTCACAGGATTTGAACCACAGTTTCCACTGCAACCACAAGAACTACACACATTGCATCCGGTTTGCTGTTGCACAGGGATACTCACTCCTGAGCCACTACCACCATTATTGCTGTTAATGTAACCGTTGTCCACTACAGAGGAGAGACTGGGACTAGAGCTGGGGGCAGGGCAGTTTGGCACATTCATAATGTTTGCGAAGGACACAGAAGTGTGATTGTTTGCAGGTGCGTTGTTACTCCCACAAAAAGTTCCAGGGATAGAAGTTACAGGTGAACACTGAACTGTTGAAAAGGCAACTTTGGTGTTTGGTGAATAAGGAACTGTCCTTGAGCTTATTACTGCAGGTGGGATACTTTTTACTTGTACAACACTACTATAGGCTGTCTGACCCATCAGCATAGATTCTGAAGGAATGGAGGAGGAGACAAGGATTTTCATAGGCGGGTGAGAGAGGTGATATGAAGAGTTAGTGGTGGAAGTACTTGTCTCCACTCTCAATACTGGCAATGGAGTTGTTTTGGGAACATCTGTGCAAGGAGGTCCAACTTTAGCTCTTATCCCAAAGTTTCCCAGGTTAGGTTGAAAGCTACTGTTCTCTGAAGCACCTGCTGCTATTTTGGAAGGTTGCAGTGAAGTTGGCATTACATCTACAACCATGGTACCAAGAGGGCCAAACTTTTTTTCTACTTTGATGCTGCTGCCAGGTCCTGGAGGTGCTTCGTAAAGCTTTGTTCCAAGCTCAGATGGATTTGCATGAGTTGAAGAAATGCCAGTTATAAGCTTAGTTTCCAAGCTGCCTCTTTCGGACTTACGTGCAGAATTCAGCATTCGGCTGGGAGCAATGTTTGAAGAAATTACTGGCATAAACTGTACTGTAGAGATGGCTGCTGAAGATGCATGGCTGGTATGGGCCAATCCAGAAGCTACGTGGCTGGGATGTGCTAATCCAGTCTCATTTTGCACTGGTAAGACCTGTGCTGTGGGTCTCCACGACCCAGTGCTTAAGTTGTTCAGGTGAGTTAACATTGCTGGTTTCTCCTTTATTGGAATGTCCAATACAGTTTCCACATCTACAATATAAAAAAAAATTATATTGCCCCGACAAGTTAGAAAATGGTCAACTTAATTCAATACAACGTATTTGGTTGTACCATAATTAGTGCCAATACCACATTTTAGTTACAAAGTACAATATATAGACTGAACAAGTGAATTAGCTACAAATTAACAGTAATTGAACAAACTAGTTCAGAGTAGATTTCAGATTTTCTATCGTTAATCCTCGAATACCTATGTTAATTTAAAACCCACACACGAGGCCTTCAATAAGCCAACAATTAAGAGAAAAGCCAGTAGTTTTGAGGGCTTTATATATTTTTTAATACCAGGTATTAAAACCCTGTGTATAGCATTTTCACATTTCAGTACACTCTGGATCTCAAGGTGTGTGTTCAATTTAAAGTAAAGCATTTCTACAGATATTCTTTATCCCAGCCAAGCTCCAGAAACTTACGTTTTTCATTTTCATCTGCACTGTCCGAGCTCTCTTCCCTTCCCTGAATTCCCATTGGACTCGATGGTGAACTGGAATAGTCAGAGGAAGATCCGCTATCCCTGTTTATTGTGCGACTTTGCTGATCCACCTCCACTCGGAGTTCTGTTAGAAAAATGCAACGAATATGTGAAACATAACCATAATTTGAATTGAAAATGTAGGAATTGAAAGCTTCGTCTCTTCCCCTCCCTATGTTCCACCTTCGATAGATTACAGTTTTATGGGTGCTGGTGACCCTCTGATACTTTATACACAGACCATTCTTCACGTGTGAGCTTAGGTTGCATACTTCATTATGGTATTTTACCAAGTACAGCAAGAGTCTCTGATGAACCTTGATCCTCCTTATGTAAAACACACATTCCAGCAAGGGTCACTGAATCACAATCAAGAAAAGAAACCTTGTATACTGTACTTCCCCTCTCTAACCCAAAGTGCAAAGGCCAACTGAGCTGAAACACATCTTGGTGGCAATATAACTGAGCTCTGGACTAAATGGTGCATCGTTTCCCACTGGACCACATTTCATCCAAAGAATACCCCGGTGCTCGTCCTGGAGTGTCTATTGATTTTAATGCAAAATACGGGCATTGGATAGGCTGTATAATACAGTACAACTCTATTATAACATGATTGCAAATTTCTGCATTTGCTGCACAAAAACAATCCAAAACCACAGGATACCAGCCTTTTATGTGAACCAGTATTAGAACGAGATACTTTGCAGACTTGAGAGGTTTCATACTATTCCAAACCAAACAATGTCTATGACTGAAACTCTGCAGTGCAGATTAGACTCAACCTTGAAGGTTTACATGTCAAATCGAAATAGCTCATAAATTGATGCCAAAACTACAACTATGAAACACAACTGGTGCAAAGGAGAGCCTCAACCTTCAAAGGTTACAATGCCAAATGGAAACAGCACATCAATTGGTACCGAGACCATAACCAACAACCACCACCACTATAAATGGTTTGGCAAGTACAGTACTATGTTTTGTTCAAGCAGAACATTAAAGCTCAAAAGATGAAGTAATGCTTCCTTTTTATTGAGTGAGGCGACAGAAATACAGTAGCACAAAATTGAGGCAAGCGAAACAATTTTTTGGCAAGAATGAAATAGTCCATCAAGCTGGGCAACAAACAAGCTTCATTGTGTGTTATTGAAGCATGCAGTTCACTGATCTTCTTTTGCCAACATAAGTGTTAGCAAAATAAATTTTAACCTGAGTTTACACTGACCAAATTCAAATCGCACGTGGGAATACATTCTTGCAGAGGAGTGGCTTAACCTTCTCGGACCATTTTATCAATTTAGACACCACATAACTCTTAGTGCTGGACACCAATTCCCAAATATCTTTCACGCATAAGGTACCTGCTCACAGACTCCTTTCAAGCTCGGTCAATGCTTCTAGTGCAACAATTTTTTTTTTGGGGGGGGGTCAGCCACCTGTGGAAACCCATCACCAAACTGAGATTTCCATGCATCTTACCTATACATGGAAATATTCCAGAGATAGATTGTTGGAATGGAATGCATACTCTCTCTCCCTGGTAGGATAGAGTGCGCATTCCATTAGTAGATAATCCAACAACATTAGTAGACACAAGATATTTTACCTGAGTAAATGAGTTGTCAGCAATTAATGAGGTGATGTGTAATGTGGTGCTTTAAGCATTGTTCTGCACAGAGATTGGTATGCTTAAGGTTATTCTGACATGTTCCAGGGATAATGGAATTCTGTCACGTGTGATCAAGATTGTTTTAGAAAATACCTGCAGTAGGGTTGCAACGGATCGAGTGAATAGGTCCAAAATGACTTGTTGGTGTAACTCGTGCAATTCCACTGTTGGAAATAGATGACTGACCCAAGCTGTTGAGATTTCGTTTCTCGCATTTCCCTCTGTAAATCAACACAAAAATGCTTAGAAAATGGGAAAGAAAATATATTAAAGGGATAATATACATTATAGAAATTTATATTTCCCCCTTCCTTGTTAATTAGACAGACTTCCATGAAGGTGGAAAAAGCCTATTTTTGGACAACTGTCCAGGTGGAATGTCATCAGCATTTAATATGTCAGACAGCAGACCTACAAAGTGATTGTTCTGTTCTTTACTCTCGGGATACATCCAACATTTACAGTAATATAAAATTGCCTTTGAAGCCAAGTTAGATCAGCAAATCATTTTACATAGAACTTTAGTTCCCGCTACTCTACATTACGTTTTTCAGCCAATTGTTAGTATAGTAGTTTCAGATTTCTATTTGTTTCTGGGATGGTGGCATCATGATAGTTGAACTGAAGCTATAAACTGATGCATAGCATAAAACACAGGTGTCTTGCCACTAGGCAAAACTGAATTGCATTATGGGTGTTCACCTACAAAATACAGTCACTTTATAGTGAATCCTGCAAGCACTTTGAGATATTGTCCAAATGAGAGAAATGCTATATTAATGCAAGGATTTATTTCTTTAATTGTAATACTACATTGATAGCACAGATAGATAATGCCTCAAGTTGTAAAATAATTACTTTCTGTAGAACAATATTAATTACAAATTGTAGGACTCCTACTGATTAAAAATCTAAAATTTCAAAAGATATTTTGTGATCCTTATTCTACCAGGTAATGTGCAATTTTATTGAACATTTTTCAATGTTTTACCACCTTAGGAAAGCAGTCACTGTTGCCTTAATTTCTCCATTAGAACATGGAAAGAAAGGAGTGTTATGACGATTTTGATTTCTCATTTAATAGAATTTATGGGGTCTACCATAAATTCTTTCATCTGATGCCTTTTATTCAATAAAGTATTGCATTCTAAACAGCTTCCTGATAAGACTCGACCATTGAAAAGGTGAGATGCATAATTTTCTTCAAATATGTGAGAAATATGGTGCTGCAATGTAAGTTGACATACAATTATCAAATACTGTATTGATAAATTTTCAAGGAAATACCGAACTGTTCTTACTAGCATATAAAAAGCTTAATTACGTAATTGAAACTAAATGCAATACAATGTTGTACCAAGAGAGGGAGCAAGTGTAAAGATTTTGAATTGAGACTAAACTTTACCAATGTGAAAACTTCAATAACAACACTCAATCTCAACTCTGAGAAACTGTAGACATACACCAAGAACCATTTTATTTCATAATCATTCACAATAACTACATTTTTATTAAAAAAAACTTACTTTTCAAGTTCCAATTGGGTTTTCAGCTTTTTCTTTGCTCCTAATGTGAGTGTTTCAAATTTGTTCAGATCCTCTTCAGTTAGGCTCAGGAACTGCAAAATATAAATGTTAGGCTACAGTTGTGAGTGTTATGTATTTTTGGACAATGCCACTATAAGATGGATATAAAACTAATAGAAAAAGATGCAAAGTGGATTCATTAGTATTTTACCAGGTACGACTGTTTCCTGTTATGAAGAGACTTGAAGATTGGCTTTTGGCTTTTTTCCAACCATAGTTGAAACAAATTAACATCTTTATTTTACAAATATTTGGCCTGTACTGTCTTGGTTCTTTGACAGTTTGATACCGTGATGAGGAGATGTAAAGATCTATAGTGCTTGTGATGGAGCAATAGTTAATTCTCAAGCATGCAATTCTGCAAAGGCAGAATAATAAGGTACCAATTCTAGGTCATGAGGAAGAAAACGTGTTCTTGCAGTAACTACTGATATATGATCAATATACTCAAATTTTGCCTCCCAAACAAAAACATTAACACAAAAGAATTATACCTTATCCATTGTGAGTTGCTGAAATACAGGATAATATTTGTGCAGTCGTAATTTTTTAAGCCAATCTAGAATACCAATTTGTTCCACATTATGTGGACTCAAGTTCTCAGTCTGTGGCCAACTGCCTGAAGAGCTTCCAGCAACTGGATGAGAGCACAGAGTGGGAGGCAGTGAAGGTTGTAGTGAGTTGTGAGAACATTGGATGCCAGCTACGCCACATATTGGTCTGCAAGAAAATATTCAGAATATTAAAAGCCGTCCAAGGCTCTCAAAATGTACAACGCAAGACCAATACGGCAGTCAAACATATATACCTTATAAATATATATATATACACATATAAACAGTTATACCTCTTAACTATTAGTCTGCTCATACTGGAAGATAGGTTATAGAGTACATATTGCCTTATTTTATACATGCCACAGTACAAGCCAGTTAAAACAATTAGTTGGGGTGCATAAAATCCCAGTGTTATAAAGTGTGATTTCTCACCAGTGCTTCCAGATTCAAAGCGCATTTGGAATTTTTAGTTTTTTAAGCAAACTCATATTATAATGAAACACATTAAGAGGATCTTAGTGTATTAGAGAAGGAAAAAGGGAGAGCCCAAAACAAAACAATAAATGCAGTTATCTTCATCTCACAATGTAATCAGCTGGTGCTATTTCAGTTTATAGTTGAGAATTACATATTGTTAAACAAGAAAAGAAAATCTAAGTCCAATAACCATTGGGAGATAAAGTAATTACCTTTGTCATATTACATTGCAGTGTGAACTGAATGGTAATTAAACATTATCAGTTATCTTAATCATTAAAGGGATGCCTACCAGGTGCTATAACATAACTTGGTGAGGAGGAACTGTTAAAACGGAAATCTAGAAAATATCAGATAACCAAAAACCCAATATATACCAAAAATGTTTTTTTTTAATTTGACTGATAACAGGATCTAATATATGACATCTGAAAAAAAATTCCTTTTAGTCTATGAATGCATTCCATGAGAATGTAAGCCAATTTTAAAACATTGGTATTGATAAAAATGGAAGATGCACTTTGAATGGATTGTGCTGTAGTTTTATGGTTAATAAAGATGCTCTTGGCATTTGAGCAATTTTATCATTATTTGACCAAAGACAAAGTAAGATTTTTAAAGGTTTTAATATTTAACAATCCACTAAGGCGTTTCCACAAATCTGAGGCCCTAGCAGCCTGGAGAAAGCAGTACCTACCTTACAGCTGCACCGTTACTCGAGTTAGCTTTGTGTAGTGTCACTGGTAGTGAGTTGGTATCTGAGATGAGAAAAACAAATTCATATTATAAATAGCTTTCTCTACAGCTCTTAATTTCAAAGCAATAACTTTACAACAATTATAATATGCTTTTCACGAGTAAACTGTGGAGGATGCAGGATGGAGAATAGTATCCTCATTTGTTTTATCTGTTACATAATTAAATAGCAGACATTCATACTGAAAGAAAGCTTTATATACAAACCAAAATAGCCAAAGAATAAAAGGGATGAAGAGTTTACTTACACAAGTGCTGAGTGGGATGATTGACCTGGGCAGTGCAAAAGAATTTCTTTATGTGGTCATTTTTCAATATGTGCGATGGCAAGGACACCAAATATCTAAGAAAAAGGAAATAATTCCTCTTATTATACAATCAGGTTTAGAGAAAGGCAGTGTTTCTCAATGAAAAAGTACATCTTCCCAAATTCCTGCAACATGCTATGTCCAAGCCCCATTTTTTTCTTCTTTCTCCCCCCAAGAAAAAACACTTTTTAAAAAAATGTTAAAACAAAAGTTAAAAGCAAATTTCCATTCTATCAATCTACTAGTCTACATCAATTAATATACTTCCTTCTGCATTTTCATGACCCTTGGATCTGGATAACCACTTAATCATTTGTGAAATAGCTATTTTACCTGAGATATGGCTCCAGATCTGTATGGTTCCGCTCCTCCATATAGGAACAATCATGGTTGGTAGTGTCTGGAATGACATTTTCTAAATTCTCTTCTGGGAATACTTGAGGAAGCTAAAAAGTTAAGACGTTTTTAATTTTAAGACAATTCCTTCCCAAGAAACTATTAGTCAAAGATACAGCCAATTAAACAGAACCTTTCAGGACATATCCCCACGTTTGCTTCATCTGCAAGTGCTTCGCTGAGACTTTTACATATTTAAAAGTCCTGTTTGTAATTCAACAGGTGATTTTGTGGCTAGCCTCACAATCAGAGTCACTACCTTTATTGCTAACCTTGCAAATGAAGCCAAGATGAGAGCAAAGATAATGTGGTTGGTCACCGAGCTTCAATATAGTTTTAAGAAACTACAAGTCAAGCCAATTCTAACAAATTACATCAAGCCATGATTCTGGACTATCTCAGCAACTATAGCACTGGTTAAGATATTATATTGACAGACTCGTGACAATGTTATGTTCATACCTTAAGTACCATACATTTAAAAAAAATCAGTTTATTTAAATCATTTTAGTTTCTCTATGGCTTATTATCATATGAAAAACCTGCATCATAAATGCTTTGCAAATGTCAAAAGAAAACTGTGACACCTCACCTTTGAAAGAAATTCTTTAATTTCTCGAAGGGACTTCACTACAAAAGTTACTGAAGAATCTGACCATAAGACCTGAAACAGAAGAAAAATACGTCATTGTTTTCTATTCGAATGCCACATGTTCAAATTTGAATTGCATGCTAGACACTGAAAAACTTTCAAACAATCGTCAGTTCTGATTAAAACACTAATTGACCTTCCACACATTTCATATTTCTAGAATTTGCAATTCTAGACACTGAAAATGGGCAGGAAGGATCTCTTTTACGCTAATACCTTCTTTCTATTCCATGTATTGAAATAAAATCTGAGCAAGATTCATGATTAAAAAGACAAGGTTAATTACAAACTTGTCATAAAATAAATTAAGATAGATTATGTTTTAAACAAAATGAGTATGTTTTGATAGATCTGATGTTGGGCTCATTTTCAGACTAAAAATACACTCTCTAATTGAATCTTACATTTTTCAAAGTTAAGAGAAAATTGACAAATCCTTCATGTGGCACATAACAGCAAGAACACTGCAAAAGGCAAAATACCTCAAAAGAATATTCCGCAGTCCGGTCACTCTTCTTGTGTTGTAATCCTTTCACATCTATCCTCTCAATGCTGACTGCGGGACAAAAAACAGCTCGACAATTGAGAATACTGTTGCAGTTCTATATATAGAGTGTAAGTGGATAGGTTTCCAGTATGCAAAAGCTAGTGGTAAAGCACAACTATGGTAAAAACATCACTTGAATAAGTATTAGAATACAAATTGGTTGTTGACCATAATTTCATGGCCAAGTTTACAATACACCTCTAAAATGAAACCATCTGCAATTTCTATAGATATTTCTAATCTTACTAATAGTAATAATAATCCTTGCATTTGATATAGCGCTTTTCACGTCTTCTAGACATCTCAAAGCACTTAACAGAATATATTGTAAAGCGAATCGACTATTTTTTTGGTGGGTGAAACGTGGCAGCCAATTGCACAGAGCAGTGTCCCACAAACAGCCATGGATTGAAATAACCAATTTATTATTGGGTTTTTTTCTTGAGGGATTATTATTACAAGCAATGTAGAGGACACTTGGTGCTAAATTATTCCATCAGTACTTATGCAGAACTGAATCATCCGACAATAGTAATTTCCTCCAAATCAATGACGGGTAATATAGTCATGTCTAGAAGATTAACAGTATAAAACAAGCAACGTTTCCGAATCAATGACTATTCCCACAAGCACAACTACAACTGAACATATTAGGGACCAATGTACTATCCTATGGCAAAGAATATCAAAATGCTAAAACATTTTGGGTAATCAATGTACACCAGACTCCATTGTTCATTCTGCCAGCTACACAATGGTCCCAATGGTTCATCCCCATTTCCTTCAGATAAAAGCATCCTGAGAAAAGAGTTGCGCACTTGATTTGTCTATGTACATGAGAAAAAAAAAGCAATGATACATGTGACTCCTACTTATGTGTGAACCTCGACCATGAATGCTGGCATGTTAATAAATTGAAGGAGGCATTGCAGCCGAGCCTTAACCTCACCAAATATCTCCACTGATACATTTCAGCAGTCACCAAATAGCAGTTGGGACCGAGAATACCGGCTAGCTTTCAATTCCTAATGCAGGGGTACTGAAGTCAATTGTAGCATCCCCAACTGCTGCTTCAGCACAGAATGAGATTTGAAACTGCAACCTTCTGTTTGATTGCTTTAATGTGGTTAACAGGTGATTAATCATAAATTATTATCCATTATCCAAACAGCACCACAACTATTTCCATGACAGAGTACTACCTACTGTACCAGAGAATACACCATTGTGCTCCATGATATTTATTATAGGCTCCCCTACAGTCTGGGATATCGTGCTTCGACTATCCCACTACAAATTTTCAGTGCAACACTGAGAAGCAGCTGTTCATTTCATATGCTTGAACAGATGATCCTGCAAGGAATGTCAAGCAGCAAGCGTCCGATTACCTATTAGTTCTTCCTTAGTTGAGTCATCTGACATTTTTAGACAGTGACCCTAAACCACCATATACTTGAATTTACACACTCTTATGACCAAATTAGTATCTAAAGGTCAGAGAAAAACAGCTTTCTGCTGAAATATTTTAACAAATAAAACAGGGCCAAAATAAGGAACCTGGAAAGCCAGTCACTTTCATCATGAGACATAAGACTTTTTCTTTTTAAAAAAATACAAGCATCAATAAAGTAAGAGATACAGTTTTAGATTTTAGCTGAAACAAATTGTCCACGATGCATTCAATCACATAAGAGATATTTTAAGTCCACTATGCAATGGTAAGTATTGTGAAATAATTATTGTATCATTTGCAGTTCTTGAGTAACCATTTATGTTTAGTTCTACTGAAACTGAAATTAAGGGGCAATAGGAAAAATAAATGGGAGCTTCTTTTAAAAAGTCTTAAAGGGGCCAAATAATGCTGAAATTCTCCCTTTCTGTACCATTAGTTCATACTTCTAACAATGGGAAATATCTTTACTGCTCTCTTCTACATTGACTCTAGCTTTTGGATAACCCTCATGTCACGGAAGTAGAATTATACACCAGTGCACTGCAGGTGCAGCTTGCCTGGAGCAGTGTAAAGGTTGAGCTTGACTGCAACGATTTAAACTTAACCAGTTTGGCTAAATACCCTAAGTATTCAGATGCATTGCATTTATTACAGTCTCACACGTTTTGGATATTGTGAGCAAGAAGTCAAATAATCACAGGCTTGAAAATAACATGTGAGTAGGACATCTCAGAGTAGAGCTTCATAGAAATTTAGAATATGTTGAATGCGATGGGGAAAATAAGTAATACTTTCAAAACACCAAGACAGTAGAACAAGAATGAACTGTTTGTCTATCTAGATGGATGTTAAAGATCCCAAGGCACTATTTGAAGGGAGTTACTCCTTGTGTCCTGGCCAATAATTCCCCCAAATAAATTCACTCTGGGGCCGTTTGTGGGATATTGCCGTGTGCAAATTAGCTGCTGCGTTCACCCACAAAACACAATTATCATTCCTGTGGATCCTGTGTACCACAAGTCTCAGCAAAATGATAGTTGTATCAAGGGCAAGGATTATTAAATTATTGAAGAATACAAGATTGGGTGAAAGCTCAGGTAAAAAAAAAAGGATGCCGTGAGACACAATGGCCTCTGTGATGTACAGGCCAAATTAGGACAGAAAATATTGTGGGGAGGGGGAAGATAAAGTAGAGGCAACAGTTTAACAGTGGTGCCATGTTCACAGTGTGAAGCAGGAATAAACAAATCAAACAGGATGCTAAACTACAGTGCCACATCAGCTGAGTTCAAATCATCAGAAGTCATGCTAGGCACGTACAGTTCTCGCAAGCTGCATCTGAAAAACTACATATAGTTCTGGTCACCGCAACACAAGTGGGTGCTGAAGGGAACACTTCCAAACTCATGTGTATTCAGAAATGAAGTTAGAATCCAAAAAAATCATTGCTTGTTAAATATACAGAACAGATTCTCCAACATCCAACACAGTTCCATCGGGGGAAAGTGGAAATTTTTTTATAAAGCATTTTAGACTTGGCATGATTACATTTTTTCCCAAAGCTTCACTTACAAGGGCAGAATGTAGACAAATTAACCAAAAGCTAGTAATACATAACCTTGTTTAAACTGTTACTACTGTATATAAAAACTGTCCAAGCATGAACTTATACATGTACAATAGTTCTCAACACACAAGCTTTTTCTTCTGCCTTTTGAAACTTTCCCCCCAATCTCCAGTAAAGTGTGGACAGGCCAGCAGCAATGAAACTGCAGCCTTTTGAGGAAAGCTCAACACATCCAGCCAAAGGGAGCATGTTCCATCTTATTGTACATGGCCAGAGATGATCCTTCAATTAAGAATGAAACACACTCAACCAAATTTGATGATAACCTATTAAATTTTGTGCAGGTCCAATAAATAAGGGTGAATTTCCATTCAATTTAATTTGAGGAGTTTATTGTTCTGTTTATACATCTGGACGTGAAGCGATAGCTTACAGTGATAAAGCAAATAGAAATGAGGAAGTCATGTATCGTTCCTGCTCCTGGCCAGGAATGAGAAGAGTTCTGTGCATGCATAAACCTTAGTTAATAATTGTTAGCTTTTAAAGAGCTATTAAAGAGCTGCAAGTGCAGCTGCAAAGGTTTGTGAAAAATCCACTGAATTTATATTTATGCTGAGGTAGTTTGCAAATCAGTGCGAGTCAGTGCCACCTTCTCAAGGTATTCTCTGCAGCCAAACTCCAGTTAGTTCCAGACCTCATTGTTCTCACAATTTATTCAAGGCAACCCACCATGAAAAGCACAGAATAAACTGGGCATGTCTTTGGAACTTACTCAAAGTTCAATGTCTGCCACACGCTTCGATTCACACCTATTTTAATTTTCCCAATAATCAGAAGGTTTTGTGCAAGTGACGGAAAATGTCACTGACCTGCCCGGGAGACCCAAGCACTCAAAGTAAATGGGACATAAATAAGTAACCTCACGTTCTCTAGACTGAAACAAGCATAAACTGATCATTCCTTAATTTTGTTATTATTAATGGCATTGAAGTTACACCTAGGATAATTATAAACTTGGTAAAATTACTATCAAAACGTTCAGGGGCAAATGTATCCTTTTTAAAAAAAAACCAAGCCTACATATCATTTACAGAATACATAGAATGCTCTATGTTTACCATAATTACAGCTCAATCTACACAAAACACAGGTTCACACAACAAGAACAATTTTAGCATGTTGCGACTTACTTTTTGAATGCTTGCCTGGAGGCCGTTTTTGAAAAGACTCCTTGTAGGAATGTGCTGATGCTTGCAATTCATTCTCTAAACAATTCACACCACTTTCAGTTTTATGCGAAACCTTCGAAAACAGAGGTGAGAACATTTTGTTATTGATATTAATTTATAGTTTGTGATCTTATCTACTACAGGGAGTTGCACAATTTTCACAAAATATGTTTTTCCTCACAACACGTGAGTATAATCAATTTAGACATCTTTTGAACAAAATAATGCTTCCTATTTGCATAACAGTTCTCAAAAATGACTATGCAACCAACCATTAATTAAAAATATTGCACCCACCTTCAACAAAATTCTTGATACTAACTAGTTAACTACTAATCAGGGTACCTAATGAAACAGAAATGTCAGTCCTTCAGTAAAAATAATTAAGAAGCTAAAGAAAGTCGTTCAACCTAAAATAGTTTAAAGCAGGATTATCCACATCCCAATATTTATTTTTCATCCTTTCCACTACCTGAACCTACAATTTTTTTGTACTTATAGTGTCAACTGAGCCGGTATTTACTGCAGGGCATAACAATCTATTCCGTAATTCAATAGTTAAGCATTAGGATGAACAGAATATGGACATCACGCTGAAATTGTCAATTAGCAATGCAGCAATGACTAAATTCTGATGAAGTACTGTGCTTTTCCAGTTTCCTTACTACTGATTATTAAACCAAACAATGACTCATTTGGATTAATAATAGTGTACTGTGATTCCTAAACAAAGTAAGAATCATGTCCTTCAATTTTCCAAATGTCATTCTACACATTTTACACTAGTCTTAATCCCCTTCTCCCTTCCTAAATGTATTTTCTTGTGGGAATCAGTTAAACTTCCTGCATTCTAAAATCTATCTTTCCATTGTCCCATTGCCCCTAAACTTCAACATTTTCAAAAAATGAATCATGAGCGAGAAGGTACAACTTTAAATAGTAATTTGTTTTATTTTCTCAAAATGTAAAAAGATTTGCAAGCTAATTTACTCTATGAGCCCAGGTAGATTGACAGATGCAATAAGTCTACTCTGTCTGTCAACATAAAGCAACAGCCAGACAACTGGGATTTAACTACAAATGGGCCAAGACTGTACAACAGTAACCATTAGTCTTAGTAGAAGACAGATTTCTGATATACACATTTTTTATTTGGCAGAACAAACATATACACGCAGTGAAATTACCTCGGACGTCTTTCCGACATGAAGGGCACTACACAGGTGTAATTTGTTGGGTGTTGAATTGTTGCAATAAAACAATTGTGCAAAAGCTACGTATCAAAATAATCTACTATCATCTTGAATGGTTGTAAGAATTGGTTTTAATTGGACACCTATTTAAATTGCAACTATTATTCACAAAAACTTGTTGGCGAAGATTATAGCGCCTTATCACGTCTTTGAGATGTCTCAAAGTGCTTCACAGAACATAGTGTAAAGTGAATTGACTTTTATCATATTAACATTTCAGCAACTCCATTTCTGTACTGAACACTCATTCCCCACAATACAAAATTTACAAAGTCTACAGTATGGAAACAGGCCACTCGGCCCAACCAGTCCATGCCAGTGTGTATATTCCACAAGTCTCCACCCCTTCCTTACTCAAATTTGATTCTAAGTAAGCAAAGCCAGCACCAGTCTTTCTTTTAAAAAAATACCTACATTTAATGCTGGAAATAGAAATTGTCTTCCTTGGTGTCTATCATTTTGTATTTTGAATAAGAGAAAACTAAGTATTTAATAAAAGTCTGTATTAAACATATTCTTAATTCAAAAACTGTGAACAAGACTTTAAATATTTAAATCAATAAAACTTAATTTTGAACTTTAGTTGTAAACAAAACATTTAGGAGATGATCATACATTCATATACATCCAAACGCAAATAACCAAAAATGGTCATTTTGGCCCTACAGACAGACAAAGACCTACAATAAAGATGAGTGAGCTGCTGAATTCAGTTAATGAAGCAAATCACCAGTTCTTTAATATAAATACTGTATATCAAAAGCTCCCATTAACCTTTTAAAACAAGTTTAGCTCCCAATCCCATTCAAATTAGATAATAAAGATCCCATTCTGAATTGGCTGCTGCGTTTACTGACAAGATAGTCACTAAAATTTACAGGATATCCTATAAAGCACTTTGAGGCATCCTGATGTGAAAGACACTGTATCAAATGCAAGAATTATTATTAATAAAAAAACTGAGACAGGTGAACAGGCTTGATGGGCCTCTGTCTCGCAGTCTGTGTAATATAATCAAAAGCAACATTTATAATGTACAGGAATCTGTTCTGTTATTAAGCCTAAATAACTTTTGTGCGGTCGCTATATACAAATATAAATTATTCATTGTTAGGTTAATTCAATACAAAAACCTAAGTAACTAATAAAAGTTTGTCAAAATAGTATTCAAACTTTAAACCAAAGAGCAATATAGATGTAAGAGAGCGGTGCACCAACTGTATCCTAACACTGCAGTTGTGATAACACATCTAAACATTTCCAAAAGGTTACAAGTTTCAGGGTTACAAAGTTTCTGTAAAGATCACTTTTAAAGTGCAATCAATAAATAAGTCAAGGTTCAAGGGGCACAAATACCAAAATTTTATTCCACCTATTTGCAAAAAGCACTTGTTTTAATAAACTCTCCCGGAATCTCAATCAAACACACTTCAACGTGTTCCACAGTACTTCTGTGATAAACATATTGAAGGAGCAAGTTCTCACTGCGTTGCTAGACTGGCATCCTGCAAGAGTCATAAAACTCCTCAAAACAAATGCAGGACTGCATTTGTTGGACCATGCGAGCTAGAATTTGGGCAGTGTTCTCTGATTTACATAAAATTTGTTTCCAACGCTTTGAAACTTAAAACTTTAAATATGCTCAGTCAAGCTGTTAAAATAAAACTTGTGATATGATAATCAAGATTTAAACAATCATTTTCTTAAATGAGTTAAACAAAAATCAAAAAGTGACAGCAATTATTTACTTAGTCTGGAAATTGTAGATCAAGGCAGTTCAAGGAAACGACAAATATACTCTCAAAAACAAGCTTCTATAAAATTTCTAAGCGATTCATGCACATACATAAAAATTACCGTTTTTCTTTCGAATGGGAACAACATTCTTTGATTGTGTACAATGCATTGTACACGACTTAGCAGCGGCTGCAAAAATCGCAAGTTTTTCTAAAAAAAATAATTCAAGGTTACGAATATTATAGTGGGGTCATACCACATCCCTGAAAGATGAAGAAAATGTCATTCAATTGAATTTCCTAAATATCAGTTCAAAGCGTACAATCCCACCTTGCAAACAGTCGAGGTGTTATCCCTGCCGGCTGGAGCGGGAGTTGTTGGTGTTGTGACCGAAGCGGCGATGCCAGGACCGGTGTTCGTGTTGGAAGTGCTATCGATAATCCTCTGGATCTCCAGTAACTCCTGCCTGAAGACTTGTTTCTGGTGAAAGGTGAAGGCGGGGTGGTTGGATGCCATGGTAAACAGCAGCAGGAATTCGTCGCCCGTCCTGTCGTGCAGCTGAAGGCCGTAGTTGTTGATGATAGAGTCGATGTGTGTGAGGGTGCGGTAGAGGACCCCGGATGCCTCCCTGTTGTCGGAGCAGAGCAGGGCCAAGGAGACGATGAGTTTGCTGCGGACCACTTCATCGGTCATGTTGGTCAAACTGGCCAAATCGGCCACGTTATTGGCTTTAATCTCGGAGTCCCTGAGGGAGTGGTAATCCTTCCTGGCCAAGTCCTCGAGGCAGGAGCCCAAAAACCGTAGCTCCAGGGGGATGCAGAGGTCGAGGAGCCCGCAAATGAAATCCACTCGCTGCGAGGAATTCAACTCGCTGAACCAACGGTAAACCTCATCCCTCTGCAGCTGCTTCTGCATCATCTTCGAGCCACGCAATCCCGTCGGGAGGAAGGGGGAGGTGGTGGTGGTGGTGGGGGGGGGGAGGTGGGGGCGGCTCGGCAAACCCCCTTCAAGGAAAAAAAATAAAAACAAATACAACTTTCAGTTCCGCCACATCCTGCACATTAACCTCTCCCCCCCCCCTCCTCCTCCTCCACACCCGCACCAAAAAAAAACAATCCACTCTTCTTTCTCCTTCTTGGAAGGAGGGAAAATGTCGGTGTTTTTCCTTTGCCTTCGAGGAAGGGGGGTGAGGGGTGGGGAGGGGGAGAGGGCAGAAAGAGAGTGAGTGTGAGGGGTGGGGGGACGGACACGCAGCTGTTTGTCGGCTCGGCTCTCTCAGCGTCTGTTTTTCTTTCTCATTCCATCGCGTTCACCGCCTCCTCCTCCTCCTCCTCTTTCCTTCCTTCCTTCTTTCTTTTCTCTTTCCCTTTCTCCTCCGCCGCCGCCGCCTCCGGGGATGAAAAAAATCCTGTGGCGGCTGAAACGAAGCACTGACGTTCCTGAACGTGACGCGCCGCCCCGCTCCTGACAGCGAGTGGTTGTTGCTGTCGTTGTTTTTTTGTGTGGTGGAGGGGGAGGGGGTGGGGGCCCTCAGGCTTCGCTCTGTTGTTGTTGTTGTTGTGGTGGTGGTGTGTATATGGCTGTCTCTGAGTTTCCGCTCCGTCTCCCCTCAGAGTCAGTCCGTCCGTCCGTCTGTCTGTCTGACGCTCTCGTTCGGCCGCCGCGCGCACTGACTTTTTTTTTCTCTCGCGCGCGCTCTCTCTCCACCACCAACCGTCCAAACCGACCGTTGCTCACTTGGTTCGCTTTAAATCCTCAGGTCGCTCGCGTGCCCACCCCTCCCTCCCTCCCACCGGCGCGACCGGAAGTCCCTCCCTCCCTCCCTCCCTCCCTCTCGCGCGCGCGCCCAATTGGCGGACAAGCCCCTGAGGCTGTCAATCAATCGGCCGTTTGGTTTCCCCCCCCCTCTCCCCGAGGTTTCTTCGCTCCTTCTCTTTCCTTTCACTCACTCACTCACTCATTCTCTCTCTCTTTTTCTTTCTTTCTCTTTTTCTTTCTGTCTGTCTGTCTTCACCCCGGCTCCCCTCCCCCCCCCCCCACCACCCCTTGTCGTTCGCAACCGCATCCATCCATCCATCCGTTGTGGTTTGATCTCATTGGAAAGGAGAGGGTGAGGAAAAAAAATCCCTCCCCCCCCCCTCCCCCTCACACACACACACACACACACTCCTCCCACACCTCCGCCCCACGCAAATCCGACCCCCGTTGTTTCTCGTTTCCTCTCCTCGAATGACTCCACTTTCAATTCCCTCCCCGACGTGTACTCACACACACACTCACTCACTCACTCACACTCTCCCACACACACTCACCCACACTCTCCCACACCCCCACTCACCCACACCCTCACTCACGCACACACTCACCCACACACACTCACCCACACACACACTCACACCCCCCACTCACACTCACACACACTCACACACACACACACTCACCCACACACACACCCACTCACCCACACACACACCCACTCACCCATACACACACTCACCCCCACACACACATTCACCCACAAACACACACACACTCACCCACACCCTCACTCACACACACACTCACCCACACCCTCACACACACACTCACCCACACCCCCACTCACCCACACCCCCACACAGACACTCACCCACACCCCCACTCACCCACACCCCCCACACACACTCACCCACATACACACTCACCCATACACATACTCACATACACCCACACACAATCACATACACACACTCACCCACACACATATTCACATACACTCATACATATACACACACACACACGCTCCCCCACACACAATCACATACACACACTCACCCACACACACACTCTCACACACATACACTCACACACTCACTCACATACACTCACCCACTCACATACACTCACATACATACACTCACCCACACACACACACACACTCATTCACCCACACACACTCAACAACAACAACAACAATCATCTTTGCCATCAGTGAGGAGCGAGTGGGTTCGAACTGTCTATCATTGGGCCCGGGTCGGTCCTGAGTTCGTGGAGTTTGCGAGATTCGCTGGCAGTAGGCCCACTGCATTACGTCACGCAATGTAAATAGAGCCTTGGTCACTGCAACATGTTAAAAAATAAGGCGATTCTTTCAACATGTTGCGGTGAAATATTATCCCCCACCCAAAACAACATACAAGGAAACTGTTTTCTTCTGGGTTCTTTGAACACCAACACTGGATGGTTCGGAATATGTAATAGAATTGCAGCACGTTTCGAAACGTTTTGAGCCTTTAAATTGTACAATATAATAATCCTTGCATTTGATATAGCGTCTTATCATCGTCGAAACATGGGCGTCCAAAGCCCTTCACAAGATCTTACTATAAAGCGCAACCACTGTGTATGTGTCGGCAAACATGACAGGAAATTTGCACATGGTAATGCCCACATTCGCTGGTTTGCCATCAATAGTGGATGCCTTGGATACTGGAGACCCATCTAACTCATGAACCAGACTATCGAGACCGCCATAAGTGATCGATTCAATTCTGATACCTATCTTCTCGAAGAAAGGAGACCTTTCTTTTCGACCGTGTTTTTTGGTTACCTTCCCACCCCTCCCACTGGCTCGGTCCCGGGATCCTAAACTGTAAAGCGCTCCGAAATGCCGTCCGGTGTGGAGGGCGCTAAATAAATCCAAGTTGTTGTTGTTGATATTCCATTGACCTCCCCCCTAAGAAAATATGATAATGACTAGTGTGTCATTATTACACATCCAGTAAAAGAAATTCAAAATTTTACAAAGCTACCGTCTTGTGGTTACAAAATAAATTATTTAAAAAACAGATACCCTGGAGAAAGTTCAAGAAAGTAATTTAATCTCACAGTTTCAGATATTAATCATAAACTACGAGAATGAAACTCCTGGCATTTAGGAAGCCTTTTGAATAGCTTGCATAAATTATTGCCTTATAACCACCTCTAACATTTATTCAGTATATAAATCATCTGAACACCAATATCAGAGTAATGATTTATAATCAATTCCTCATGTCCATTAATCTTTAGGTAACGTATATAAGCTACTGATAAAAACTTACATTTTATTGCTGCCTTTGGCTCATGGAAGCAATCGTGCCATATGATTAACTGTTTACTGTTCTAATTTATTTGATTCAGTTCCAGAAAAAAGTCCAAAACCCTTTGAAAACCTACTTTAAATTATATTGTATTACCAATTTTAAAATGAGTGGGACTTTTTCTATGGTGTATCAGAAGTTTACTTCCTAGGTCATGGAAAGTGGAATTAAGGCTCTATTTTAGACAATATCCTGTATATATGTAGTTATTTAATGAGTATCATGAAAAATATATTACCAAATGTATTTTGTACAGCGTATACCATGATATTAAATAAAAGTCTTGTGAAATATTAAGGAAATATGGTCTCAATAAGATAAAAGTGTTATCTTGATGTAACATGTGCCAATGTGTGTTTTCTCCAGAAGGTTCACTAGCAAAACAGTGGCCCATCAAATGAGCCAAACTTTCAGAGTTCATCTTATAGTTTCTCAAACAGAGAGCATGAGTTTCGCCAGTCCGTATTACGTTTTGGGCCTCTTTTATTATCCATTGCATAAATTCTTTAGCAAAGGCCAATAGTTTCATTTAAACTAAGAATTATGGGATTTTAAGGTACTAATAATGGACGCATCCTCTTTAGTTCTTGTCAGATTATTTAATCCAATTTACAGAGTCTGTAATGCTTTGCATATGCTTTGAAGAATGGTTAAAAAATAACTATGTTGACAGAGGGGATTCGTTGTACAACAACATTTAGATTGCACCCTTCATGCAGGGCAGTGCCTCAGAGCACTGGACAGTAGCAGGGTTGAAGGTGATCATAGGCGCAAACAAAGAAGTTGATCTTCAGGTTACATTTAAAGACAGATAACAAGGGAGCGAGGTGGAGGAATTGAGAAAGCGAGTTCCAGAGATTTGGGTGTAGTGGCTGAGTATGTGGCTGAAATTCCATACAAATGGAAAATATCCATGCCCATGTGGAACTCTCGGCCTGGTTTGGATTCTGTTAAGCATGGTGATGGATTTCCACACATGTCAAACACCAGGTTGACAAAAACGATCGTACTGTTAGCTTAGAAGCTGAGAGTCTGTGCCTTTCTACAAAAAATGAAGATTATGCTTTACCACCTTATCAAGAAACAATTTCAGCAAATTTGTATGGCCAGTATAGGTTATACAATCCCATATTTTCTATGTCTATAATTGTCCTAAACTGGTATACTGCTAAGGGCATCTGGCTATTATTAGCCCTTAATCTTCTTGTCTGACTACACTAGCCAAAAGATTAAAATAGCAACCCTGGCCACCTACTCTAATTAGTGGATTTACTGTTCCTTAAATTAACTTTCTGAAAAAAACTAAATAAAGACAAAAATTTAGATGAATGTTATTTTAAGTTACGGAATGCAATACTTAAACGGGCGCTAATTTTTCAGCATCCATCTAATATTAACACATTTGGAAAAGAAAGGTGACTTTTAGTCCATATTCCTTGAAATTTTGCCTATGAATCGCAGGAACTACGCTGTACAGTAAATCCAGTGAAGCCGGATGTTTTGAAAACTTAATCAGGCCCTATAACACATGCAAGAATTATTAGTAGTAGTAGCAGTATTAATTTTGATCCTTCTTCAAATTTACTTGGAAAAGTGTTTTCTGCCTTCCTGTTCCATTTCTAGAAAAGGGGGAGAATGAACATATTCACAAGAGGAAAGGTTTTATGCTGTCGTGCGTCCACTGGGTGGTGCCAACCACACCAAGTACTGGAGTGTGTCTGTAACCAGTTCAGTGCTCAACATGCTGAGCAGGACACTTTAATGCAGCACCATTTTATTCACAAATTGCTCAATTTCCTTATGCCACAGGAATCCTGCTGGTTTTTGTGTCAGAGCAGGTCAGTCCTTTGCATTGTTTTGACAAAAGATGCACAAGACGAGCCGACTCCCTTTCGTTACAAAGGAGTGCTAATGCTTAAATATTGAAGTCTGTCCTTTGCGGAAGCAACACGAGCTGTTGGAGCTATATCTCAATGTCTGTTTCAATTTCAACGTGTCTCCGTGAAAATACCTGCAGCGGTGTTCCACACATTAATGTTCTGCCCGTGAGGTTCGTTCAATGTTGTCATCTTAAATTCAAACACAGAGCCATCATCATCTCCTGAAGCAGGATCATTAAACCCTTACATCAGGCTATGGGAAGGCTATGATATAGCCCAAGGTCTTTATCAATCGAGCACAAATTCCTACATATTGATGTAATGGAAACAATACTGAAAAGCTTTCCCAACAGCTTCAGGGGTTGGAAAACCCATAGAAAACGCATTCAGTGGCAGACAGATTAATCCGCATAAACTGTTGCAAAACTGAACGCTGGAGCAGTTCTGGTTGGGAGGCCATCCACAGGTAAGAGCCTAACCCTTTCGAGATAAGCCTCACGTAAACCTATGGTAATACCATTCATCATTCCTCGAACTGCAGCAAATGTCCACAGACATAAATAACCCTGAAATGGGAACACAACAAAAACCTCCATTCTCACAAAACTGCGCCGTTTAAACTGCAGAACAATCTTAAGAGATGAAGAAATCGTTTGGGAAGTATGTTCACTGTCTCGCATGAAATAATATCTCTTCTTTTTTAAAAAAAAGTCATTTATACCTACCAGTTTCGAACAAAAGATTGACTTAGTTTAAATAAAAGCGGCTGTCAACGTTATCAGACGAGATTATTAGGCTATTATTATATTATTGGGTTATTTATATTATTAGGTTATTATATTATTAGGTTATTACATTATTAGGTTATTGTATTATTAGGTTATTAGGTTATTATTAAATTATTAGGTTATTAAATTATTAGGTGATTATTAGGTTATTAAATTGTTGGGTTATTATTAGATTATTAGAGCGGAATTTTTTTTTTTTTTTAAAAAAAATACTTTTTCTAACTTTTCCAATTTTGCAAAGTCTTTCTTTTCGGGGGGGGGGGGGAATAAATCATCACAAGAGAGAAAAAAAAACGCGTGCAAAAAAAAAAAAAAAAAAAATCCTCCTTGGACGTTCAGCACCAATCAGTTGTGTGGGACCCAGAGCTGCCACTCTTCCAGTTGCCCCCACAGCTGCCACTTTCCCTCTGTCAGAGCCGAGGTGCAGCTCCAGGGAAGCCTCCTGTTGCCGTTTGATACCAAACCCAACACCTTATTTATGCCGTTAATTACACCGAATGAAACCCCCTCCCCCTCCAGCTGCGTCCTCCTCAACCGTGGGCTGTAAGCACAGGCGGCGATTGGATGCACAGCAGCAAGTTGACAGGGGGGTGGACCTGGAAGAAAGTCCAAAGATCGCCTTTCTTGTTGTTTTTTTGTGTGTTTGTGCGTTTTTTTTCCCCCAAAAGAGAGAGAGAGAGAAAGATTTATTTTCTGGTCTCGGTGGGTTTTTTTGTTGTTGCATTTTTGCATTTTTTTTTTGGTGGTAGGGGGGAAGGAGGTGTGGTGGGGGGGGAGGTTTTTTGCAAAAAAAATAATATGAGCTACCACAAGTTTAAAGTAGCTGTAATAGGAGCTGGAGCAGCCGGACTCTGTGCTGCCAGTCATGTCCTGAGCAGGTCGGAGAATTTCCATCCTCCAGTGGTTTACGAGATGTCCGACTGTGTGGGAGGCACTTGGGTTTACACCGACAACGTGGGACGCAATGACTATGGTTTACCAGTACATTCCAGCATGTACAAGAATTTGAGGTAACACAGACAGACACTTAACCACACGTCCAGATAATGTTGGATTGTGATTTTCAAGGATGCACTTCAAAGAGACTTTGCAAATGGGTATCACATCCCAAGAGCCTGAGAGCAATGTCCTGCTTATTTTTTTTGGGGGGGTGGGGGTGCACGTTATTTTCTTTTTCACCAATGCAAGAATTGCATTCGTGTTCAGCTTCGCTGTCTGAACTATCCCACAGTAACTGCAGCGCAGTACTTACAGAACAGAGGCGCTTTCTTTTGTGTTAATTAGACAAGAACTGATTAAACAGAGCCGTTCCCGAATTCACTGGAGAAATGATCGGGGAATACGGTACACTGTGCGAATGCGTGGCTTTGGGAATGACTGGGAAGCTGAGGGCCAGTGTTGGCTGGAAAAACCCGATGGCTGAAGATCACCAGGAAAGGCAGAGAGGACGTGCTCAGATGATGGGGTGAAATGGTGCATTCGGGGCCAGTCCGATCCACCTATTTAGGTGCAGAGTCGCACTGGTCGCAAAATCTCCAGTCTACAGTAATAAATGATAATGCAACAATATGACGATGCACGAGCAAAACTTAGGGCTGGATTGAACACATGATTATTTCAAAGAATACATTTCCTAAGTCGGATAGTTGCGAAAACGGGCTTTAATAATACAAATGGAAGCAATTTGGCTGAAATGTCCCGGAGGAAACGGTAGACTGGTGGGAAACGTGGGATAACAGTTCACATTTGTGTGTTACCTATTGCACAACGTTTTATGAATACAGAGTTAAGTCCTGGGCTTGGAGTTCATTTGTTGTTGGTCTGAGAGAGCTGCCCTCGAGCACCTCTGTGGTTTGGACTTTGTCCTGGACAAAACTTGTCCTGCATTTCAGACCTTGGGATGATCTTTGTTATCTTAACCAACAGAGGATGATCCAGTTACAATGGGAATGGATTAAACTGCTCCATCCAGTGGTGAAGATTTAAATAGTATCAAAGAAATGCAAGTACAGTACTGTACAGCATTTTAATCCAACAATTTAATAGTAATCCTTGCATTTGATATGATACCTTATCAGGTCGGCGAGATATCTCAAAGCATTACACATGATTTCTTGTCAAGTGCGATGACTGTGTATTTAGTAGGAGAAAGTGATAGCCAAATTGGTCGCGAGGCACGATGAGACATCGAACCCAGGTCCTACCTGCCAGTTCAGGTGGAAGTTAAAAATCCCATGGCACTATTCAAAAGAAAAGGGAGTTTTCACCCGGTATCTTGGCCAACAATCCCCCAAGTAAAATTGGTCGGTCACTTCACTGACAGACATTGCTGTGTGCAAATTGAAAGCCAGTCAAGATTTCACAAAGAACTCTGACCTCAGGTGTGACTCTCAATATTGTAGCTGTCTGGCTGTTAGTTTTATTTTTTTAATGAAAGAGAGATATTCCCCATTCGACCATTTAAACTGAAATTAGCAAAAGTCATGCAAATTTCTGGACAGGATTATCTGAAATCTATTTACCTGAAACACAACAATGCACTTTGCATCTCTTTGTATCTGCATCCTTTACTATTCTAACTATTGTCATGATGTCAGAGCAGGCAAAAATACGGCTGAGGTGTTTGGTATTAGAAAAAAATTGTAGCGCTGTTATTCGAACCCTGAGTTCCTGCAGGCTCAGCATTGGCCTTGGTAGATATGAAATAACCTAGCTAGATGTAAACAGGTACAATATCAGCTTTGATTTCAAAACAAACTGTGCAGCTGATATGGCGTTATTATTATTTACTTTTGAACTTTGTTTTATGTGGTTAACTATATTGCACTGTGGTGCAAATATACCTTTTCCCGAACTAATATCTTAAGATGGCCCAATACCCCCAAATAAAATTGGTCACTAACTCCATGGCTGTTTGAGGGACATTGCTGTGCAAAGTTGGCTGCCGCATTTACCTGCAAGTACATAGTCATTTAATTTCACAGTAAATCCTGTGATCCCTTTGGGACGTCCTTCTGACCTGATAATACCAAATGCAAGGATTATTATTATTATTATTAATACTACACATCACTATTTATCGGCACTCATTCTATTCAAGGAACAGAAGTTTGGTGTGTTAATCACATTTAATTAACCCTTGTGGCAACACCAACTTGTCAAGTACTGTTTTACTGACTCTGGTTGCAGTTGGCTATTGTGGAGAGTCAGTAATTTATATCCCTGATCCCTTAGCTTGCGAGTAGACGTAAGCTAGAATGCTTAATTAAATAAAATTGAAAGACCAGACAAAGATAGCAGTGAGAAGTAAAGCCGGTTCAGGTTAATCTTGTGGTAAGAATCAAAATATAAAATGGAACAAATATGAGAATAATCAAAACTAAAACTCTGTTTTATAGAATAAATAAATGTTACTGGTGTACATGCAGTTTTTAAAGCTTATGAAATAATGATGTTAAAAGTATGTCTGAAGCCAAAGTTTCAAAATTGAAGAATTTAATATAAAAAAATTCCAGCATCACAGTATAAACAAGTGCAATGATTATTACCAATAAATAATATAAGCATATTATGCATATTGTGTAATTTATTACGGATAGTTTGAATGTTAAGGTATAAGTAAAAAATCTTTTCTTTCAGGTCAAACCTTCCGAAAGAAATAATGGGTTTCCCAGATTTTCCATTCGATACTCAGCTTCCTTCCTTTGTTAGTCACAACGACGTGAGGTCATATCTGGAGCAGTACACCGATCAGTTTGGAATTCGATCTCACATAAAAGTACAGTATTTGGTGCTTAATTGCACCTCGGTGTTTTCACCAAAGTGTTTTCACAGAAAGAAAGCGTAAAGCAGCTGAAAGCAAAGGTGCAGAGAGGGGGCGGGGGCCGGGAGGGAAGGGAGGGAATCAGTCAACCCTGCATTACAATACATTGCTGAAAACTCCTCCACCTCTACGGTCATTAACTTGAGCCTGGTAGTTTTGTCAATTGTTACAATTCAAAATGCTTTCAGAAAATTTTCTTAGATTAAGGTGTGTACAACCCTTGCTTCCTACTTCTTTCCAGCCAAAGAAAATATCTTTAAATCTTTCCTAATCATTCTATAATCCATTCTTTAACTACCTCTTCCATAATTCCACATGTCCATATTATTAGTTATGAGCATCTCATGTGGCACTTTATCAAAGGCTTTCTGGAAATCCAGATACACTACTTCTACTGCAATTCCCTTTTTTTTGCTTTATTGGTTACACCTTCAAAAAAGTTTATAAGGTTGATCAAGCATGACCTTCTTTTCATAAATCCATGCTGGTTGTTCTTAATTATATTCTCCTTCTCCAGATAACAAGTTACTTCATCTTTTATTGTGGATTCTAATATCTTGGCTAGAACCAATGTTGAGCTGACTAGCCTGTAGCTTTCTGGATAAGCTCTATCACCCTTTTTTTAGAAATAGGTGTGACATTGGCCATTCTCCAAGAATATTTGCTTTCCTCAAAATTAGATCAACTGATTAAGATTAATGACAGCTCTTTGAATGCTTTGGGACTCTGTCCCACAATGATTGTGATCAACATTTTGATTTTTATGATGCCTCAAACTTGCTTCTGGGAAAGTGCCTAGTTTCCACTTAGTTAATTTGTCCGTCCCAAAAATGAGTAAATTTGACAAATTTAAAGTAATATTCCTCACCCTACCAATCCCTGTGCATCAATGAAAAGACCTCACATGAAGAAAGATAGGAAGTAGTAACTCAGTAAAGGGAAAAGAGAAGGATTTTGACAAAAAATGTTAATGCACTACTGAGTCACTTTTTCCTTAGTTTTGCACAAATGTTGAGCTGGTGAATCCGATTTCTGGAGCCAATGGAGATACTAAGAATCTGTGGGAAATAATATCCAAAGATCTGAGAAGAGGGACCCATTGCACAGAGAGATTTGATTCGGTTCTGGTTTGTACTGGGTAGGTTTATTTATTTGCTAATGTAATTTTAACACAGAATCTGTGATAAACTTTTCATCCAAAAATAATCAATTCACAGTAATTTGACAAAAGTCAATTAACTTTACAGTATATTCTGTGAAGCACTTGGCGACATCTTAATAATGTGATAAGGCACTATTATCAAATGCAAGGATTATTATTATAATTCCTTCCTCCCAACCCATTTTCCAATAACTGGGTGGGGGATATTCTGAGATATTGCACAACCAATCTGGCATGAAACATTGTTGCCTTGGAGCAGAACTGATAATAACAGCTCTCTGTTACTGGGGTGAATGCCCTGCTGCATTTTGTCTGGGAGTTCAAATAAAAATCAAAGAAATTAATCATAGTTGAGGCAAGTGGGATCACGCAGCCTTTGACTCTCAAATGAGTGTTGTTAACTCTGCCTCAACTAAACACACAGGTGCTCAGCATTCCCCCCTCACACACACACACAATTCCCAGTAATGTCATCATCATCAATTTAGTCAGTAATAGCATAAGTTGAACAGGTCACAATTTTAGAAATCACGTTCATTAAACATAAATTTACAATTTTCGCTTGGAATGTCTTGACATTTATTTCAGAGCTTTTATATATATTGTAGTTATGAAACAGCAAACTTGTTATGTCATTTATGCAACTTATAAAACACACTACAGCCTGCATGTCAACATGTTCTTTATTCATTCTGTATTTTCAGCCACTATTCTGACCCTTACATCCCACATATCCCTGGCATCGAGCATTTCAAAGGGCAAACGATGCACAGTCACGAGTTCAGAATAACTGAACCTTTCACTGGAAAGAACGTGATTCTTCTGGGATGTGGACCATCTGGGATTGATATGGCACTGGAACTGTGCTCAGTCGCAAAACAGGTTGTTTTAAGTCATGCAAATTCACTACTAACAGCACCTCTGCCTCCAAATATCCTCCAAGCAAAAGCTGTGGAGAGATTTTCAGAGACTGGAGTCATCTGCGGAGATAAAACCGAATATCCTGCAGACATATTCATATTCTGCACTGGTTATAATTATTCTTTTCCTTTTCTCTCAAGAGAAGTGGGTTTAGAAGTCAGAGATCACAGGGTTACCCCACTTTACAAACACATTGTTCACACCACTTTTCCAACACTCTTCTTCATTGGGTTATGTAAGACAATCTGTCCCTTTCCTTTTTTCCACATTCAGATCTCATTTGCTTTAGCAGCTCTGGATGGCACACACAAGCTGCCATCAAAAGCAGAAATGGATGCAGCAACAGAGGATCAATATCAGACCTCTTTACAAATTGGGATCCCTCACAGACACTTTCATAAATTAGACAGTCTTCAATGGAGTTACAGTGCTGAGCTGGCCCAGTTAGCTAAAGTTGATCCATTGCCACCAACCATAAGAAAATTGTATGAAGAAAACAAAGTAATAAGAAGGCAAGATGTGTGTAATTATAAAAATTATAAATATGAAGTAATAGACCATGAGAAATGGAGAATAGTGAAACCAAAATCATTATAAAATCAATGATAACAGTGATTAGGATTCCATTTGTGAGGCTGCACCTTATTTTGCTTGGAATGTATTTTTAAAACTCTGTTACTTCCAAAACAATTTAATGTATAGAATAATTTTCAAATAGGAACAGGATAAGAACAGTACAGTTGATTTACATGTTTGCTTTCTGCAAACCAAGATTTAGCATTGATAGTTTATGAATTATACAGTGAGTACTTCTGTAATCAATATTTTTAGAAGCCTTTTTCCACTAGATATATTCACAATTTGCCCAACAAAATACATTTACATTACAATGTCAACCTCAACCACTAGTGATTAATATTATATACAATATATAAATACCCACCCACCCACCTACCCAAATACCCACCCACCTACCTATCTCATTAGCATTGTTTCTCCACTTGCCTTTTATTGTGGTATCTAAATGTCTGCAATCAGTGTTATAGTTACAATACCAAATGTGTTAATATGGTATTTCTTGTATGTACTCTTGCATTTCTATTATGTAACCGGTTAATCTCATATAAAGTACCATAGTTGTACTGAACATTATAAAATACTATT